TGTGTGTGTGTGTGTGTGTGTGTGTGTGTGTGTGTGTGTGTGTGTTTGTGTGGTTTTTTTGTTGGGTTTTTTGTTTTTTTGTCTTTTTGGGGGGTACTGGGGATTGAACTCAGGATCAAACTCAGGACCTTGCACTTGCCAGGCAGGCATGGCACGAATGAGCTACACCGCTGGCCCTGGCTTCACACCGCTGCCACATTAACAAATAGCTGGCTGCTTCCCATCACAACTATTTCATGTTTAGTGATTTAGTGGTTTTGTCATAGCAACATGTTCAAGCAGAAGCTGAGCTTTAATTTATAAGCAAATCTTTTTAGGACAAAAATTACATAAGACAACCTAAAAGTTAGACTTGTGCAGTTTACAAATTAATATTCTGAGCAGATGAAAAATGACATATCCTTTTTTGTGAAGTCCAGCCCACAACATTTAATAGCGTCATGCAGGCCTGGTACAAGAGTCTCCACAGCCCTCTGTTTACAGAGCTTTTCCCACCACAGCTGGGGACACTTCTTACCGGAGTGACGGAAATTTACAAACAGCAGTGCATTTAAAATGTTAGCAGCATGTAAAACATTAGACAAAAGAGAAAGGAAATACTATTAAATAAAAAACTATACAGTGATACGCCATAGGAAAACAGATCCAAATATCTTTCTGTTAAAACATCAAAAATATTTATCATCACAGAATGTATGACAGCACCAGAAAAACAATTCAACAGCATTTTAGTCCTGAGCACAGAATTCGGCGATCCTTTGTGCTTATAGAAACTCTTTTTTTTTTTCTATTTTTCCATCTTGCCAAAAAATTTTTTTTTAGAGTCTCACTTGGTTGTCCAGGCTAGACTTGAACTCCTGGATTAGGTGCTCTTCCTTCCTCAGCCCCAGGGGAGCCAGGGCTACACTACAGGTGCCTGCCCCTGAGCCTGGACTCAAATTGTTTATAATTTTTATTCCATCTGCTTAGTTGCCAGCTTTCCCAACTGGCATTACCTGAAAATGAATGTGTGTGACTCTGCTCATATCCTGTATCTAAAAACTGAAAGCACTGTTTGGCCATGGGACTGGATCACAGAGGCCACCAACTGCACTGTCCTGGGCAACCCTTCCTCCTTCCTCACAGCTGCCAGGGCCCATTGCCTGGCTGGGGGCCTCTGTAGACCCCCACTCGGGCTGCAGTTCTCCATGGGGCTGGGGAAGGGGCCAGGCCCTGTCCACCCCTGGCTGTGGAGAGAGCTCATGAGTGCGTTTAACAGGTCAGCAGTTTGCTTCCGGTTAGAAAGATGAATTCCGTGGATTACTTGGTCTGAATGACCCTTATGGGGTATGTAATTATCCGTGGCATGTATAAAACTAAACTGTATTCAAAATGCCAGAGTTCTTACCACTACCTTTAAAAAACTCTCAGTATTCGTGCATAATGGGAAATATTACCTCTTTGGTTAGTATCTATGAAATGCTAAAATTCATTAAATTCCTTTCATTACATTTTCTTACTTTAGGTGGTACCTGGAGAAGTTTGAAGATTATCCAAAGTCTCGGAAAATTATAATTCCATTTCTGTACTGAGTACCATCATCAAGGAAATGACCTTCATCTGGGAGTTTCCCCACTCTTTCTCTGGGTGTCAGGTCTGACTTAAGCGAGTCCTTCACAAGCAAATGGGACAAAGCGAACAGGCTGCTTTCAGCAGACAGCAGCAGCTTCTCAGTAAAAAGGGTGAATGGACCCAAAGCACAAACCCCCCTGGTGCCGAGAAGTCCAGCAATGGTGTACACGCATGAGCAGGCGTCCAGCTGTGATAAACTCGGCTTTTCCCAGTGAGCTGCTCCAGTCTCCTGATTTTTAGTCTCTATTTACTGGAATAAACTTTCCTTTCAAAAGCCTGATTTTTGACAAGTGAATTCTTTATGACTCTGGGGACCGTGTCAGTGAATCATATATCCGTAATTTTTCTGCTTCTTGTTTTCCGGATATGCTCAATGGGTTATTTTCCATAGTGAGTGTGTAGGCTACCCAGTTATAAACTAATCAGACTAAAACGCACGTGAGCGGATTATGCCACATAGCTGGTCAGGAACTTTGAACCATTGCGTTACCTGCCATGCTGAAATTGTTTCCCCCAGGTTTTTTATCTCTATCGATGAAGCAGCCTTATGTTCACCCTATAATTCTTCATTTTATTTTTAGATACTTAAATTTTGTTTATTGTGAATGTGACTTTGTTGACGCCTGCGTTTTTGACACCCACAAACTGAAACCATTATTGTCTGTTTTGTTGTCGGGGACCGCTATGCTGCGACATGTATTTTATGCATTCCAGTGTTTTTCATTTGCTATTGGAATTTCTGGCTTGACAGTCGTCGTCATTTGCAGAAATCTTAAATTCAAGTTTGGAAACACTTGAAGCTGCTGCATTTAGTCGTCCTTTGCTTCCTACAAATTGGTGAGAGCTTGGAGAACAGAATGGAGAAGTGATTGTCAGACCGGTGTCTTGAAAGCACTGTGTGGTGACCTCCTTCCTTGGGAGTTCACTGCTCTCTCCTGCCTTAGCAGTTGAGTTTTCTTCATTTATTTGTTTCTTTTGACAATTCCAGATGGGCTCCATGCCAGTCAGAAATGAGAAAATAATGCATCACAGCAGTAATCTAAGATAACTTTTATTATCGTGAGTCCCTCTTTCTTAGTTTCTAAATTGCTTTGTCTTATTACCAGTTTTCTGAGTTTGGGTGGATTTTTTTATTAGTATGTGTTTGTCATATCATGACCTCATTCATCACTTGTACCTGTACTTAGTATTTCTTAATTCTTAATTCTTTTTTCCCATTCCCCTGTCCTCCCTTCAATCCTTCTGCGGATATTTTTGTACCATTTATAACTAGTTGGGAGGAGTAGTACTACATTTGTCTGGGTTTTTTTTTTTTTTTAGCAAACTTGGTTTTAGGTTTTGAGGCACATATTTCTTGTTAATAAGAGTGAACGAAGCACAGGGATGGTGGGTGTTGCTGCACCATGTCCCAACTACTCTCCCTCCAGTGAGTAACTCTTGTCGGTTCACGCCGGGTACCCCCAGGTGCCAGTTGTACTGTAGTGTACCACCATTTTAAGGTAACTGTAAAAGTAAAAATAGTTTACTTGCAGTATTTATGTGTGTTTGGTTTTTTTTGTACTTCACCTTGTATATTTGGGTCGAAGATGTATAAGACTCACATTGTTGGACTTAGGAATGAATCTGGCTTACACACATTCTTCTGGAATGGAACTCTTATAAGTTAGGGACTTAACTGTAATGAAGTATTTCAAGACAGTTTATCTAAATGAGTGAACGATCTAAACAGACCTGTAACCAAGGAGGCAGCCAGATGGCAGATAAGCACAGGCCAGGATGTTTAGCGTCATGAAATCATCAGGAAGACACCAAGCAAACCACAGGATGCCAGTACCTGCCCAGCATCCCTTCACAGATGCTAAATGTGGAAATCTGAAAACTCATTCTGCCAGAAATTAAACTGAGGCATCATAAGTTTACTAGAGAAAACAGTTCCTGAACAGCACCAAACCAGAAGTCATTCAGAAACTCCACCTAGGAAAAAACAAGTGGAGATGTTTACAGGACAGACACAGAAGTAATGCAGAACAAGCATCTGATTGGTCCCTGTGGTCTCATGGGGCTGTCCCGTTGAAATGCCCCTGTTGTGTAAATGTCTTTTCTGCTTCTGATTGGTCGAGCACAACAGGCATTTGACAAGGAAGATCTCAGGCTCAGGTCCCTTGGGAGGGCAGGCTGCTGGTGTCTCAGTATAATAGTCTCCAAAGTTTTTCTCAGTAATACAAACCATAACTTCCATCAATAAATAGTGTTATGTTTATTTCAAATCGTTTTAAACCCACTAAAATGACAGTTTTGCTCTCAGTGGTACTTCATGCCTGACTGAGGAGGTGAAACAGGAACTATTAATTAAGAACATAACCTTCACTAATAAAACTTCACCTTACAGTGGCCCTCTTATCCATGGTGTTGCTTTCCATGCTTCCAGTTCACCCACAGTCAACCATGATCCAAAAGTACTATAATTTTGGAAAACTCCAAAAATAATTCCTGAAATTATTCTTGAAATGGTTCCTAACAAAATGCCACTCCATCCTATGTGGGACAGGATTCATCCCTTTGTCCAGTGTATCCATGCTGGATGCACCTCCCACTCAGGTGTTAGTCCTGTCTGCATCATCAGCTCAGCTGTCCAGGATCACAGTGCCCAGATTCCAGTAACCCTTATTTTACTTACTAATGCTCCCAAGTGCAGAAAGAGGGAGGCTGGTAGTTGCATTACAGTTTTTGTCTTAGTCGCTACATTGTATTATTGATAATATCTGTAGTGATGAATTTAGAAAGTAAATGATGCCAGTGTCCGGATTGGAAGACGTACATACGAGGTTTGGTACTACACATGGTTTTAGGCGTCTATTGGGGGTCTTGGAAGGTACCTTTCTTAGATAAGGGAAGAGTAGAGTATTTTGGTCTTTTCCCAATTGTGATGAAAAACACTTGAGTAACTCTGTTTAAGTTACCTTAGCCTTAGCATTCCCTCCAGGACCGCTGCTGGGCCCTCCAGAACAGCGTTTGCAGAGTGTGTGAAGGCAGCGTCTGAGGCTGTTTGTCAGGTGTAGCGTCAATGCCTGACAGTGTCCATATGCAAAATTGTTCAGGTATTAAATGTTTGCTTCCTAAGTATTTGCATAGAACACTGATTTGCTAACATAAAAATAAACAACAGCAGTCTGGAAACAACCTCGTTCCATGTTCAAAGGTTCAGCTGTTATTCCTATCTTCTAGAGGCAAATCCTTCTTATATTTAGAAATCTTAGAACCATTAAACTGTGGCATTTCCCAAGGTGCTGCCTGAATCTCATGCTAGGTATACAAACTACAATTTGTCCATGCCAATTGGTGCCCCAGAGGTGGGCTACACAAAGAGTTGAGTACAGGCCCTCCGTGAGCAGAGCAGTACTCTGGTATTTGTAGATCACATTCTCTTTTCCCAAGACCATGCTGCCCTGGACTGTGGCTTGGGGAGGGCAACAGCATGCTGAGGCCGTCTGTCCATTGCAGCCTGCCCCAAGACCTGGTAAGGAGCTCGACACAGCTAGGTCCAAAACCTTTCTGCTCAATAGAAAAATCACCTACATTACTGCTCATTCAAATGAGAAAACTGGGGTAGGGGCCCCACGCTTTAGGCAGAGCACCGGCATGATACAGCAAGGCCTGGATCCTGAGCAGACACCTGAAACAGATGTCCCACATAAAGAGGCTGCATGAGCGTGGACTGTGACTGTCTGGCACGGTTCAGCTCTAAAATGTCCCCAGACATCTCGTGTTTGGGGACGGGGCTGTGGGAAGTAACTGGATGATGGGGATACTACTCACCAGTGCAGTATCCATGGTGTTCTCAGCTGGACACAGCCTCACCCTGGAGAGTGCCCTGGGAGGACCTCAGAGAAACAGCCCTGCTTCTGCTGCCCTCTGCAGGACCAGCCAGTCACAGCTCTACTCCAGGCACACAGGCTGTCCTGTGCACCTGCTCAAACAGGATGTGAACAGTGTGTGCCACACCCAGTGGGAGGACAAACAAGTGATCAAGATAGTGTCCTAGCGTCCGGTCAAAAAAGTGATACAAATCCAAACAAGGCACAGAGTGGAGCTTGTGCCCCTCGCTGGTGTCTGGGTCAGCTGTCGCCCCCGCTCTGGCCTCTGCTGGCACCGTGCCCTGCCCGCCTTGCACAGACATCCCTCTGAAGTGTGCCAGACCCTGTGTGCTACCGAGCCCCTGGCACAGGAGGTGCTGCAGCCACGGCCCTGCCCCGCTGTCCTCACTGCAGTGCACCCCTTCTCCAGATGCTCTGGCAGCTTCTATCCATCGCTGGTGCATCTGGGCCACGTCTGCCCAGACTCGGATGCTGCACGCTGGACCGAGCACTCGTTAGCTTTCCAGGTCTGGAACAGATAACCGCCATCATCAGGTTATGAAGAAAGAAGGTGTGTTCTGGCTCACGGTTTCGACCTACACAGAATCCATCTCTGGACGCCCAGCCCCGTCGGAAGGCCCCTGTGGACCTCAAAGACCAGAGGGACATGCCAAAGGGGCCGGATGTCCAGTGTCCCCTCACTGGGAAGTTGTCACAGCAGGCAGTGCCATCCTGCCATTCCTGGTCTGATGCCCCTTGGAGCCTGTGACTGCAGGAGCCAGAGAAAAACCTGCAGCTCCGAGTCACGGTATGCACATTGCAAAGGCAACAAGATCTGGCAGTTTAGAATGTTCTAGAACAACTGACAGTGGGGACATCTGACAGAATCCAAATAAGGTGAACTTTTCAGGGACAAACTGACATCTTGCTGATTTCTGGAGACGCTGGGGGCTGTTGTGAAGGACCCAAGTGAGCTGAGCCGAGACTCTACCTCTCAGCATCTTCAGGCATGTTCCTCACCATAAAAAGGGCTCTGCTTCCACCCGGACCACCCTGCTGCAAATCTCTGTTCCCAGCCAGATACTCCAATGACTGGCCCCTTCATCCTGTGGGCAGCACAGACCTCTTGTCCCTGTGGGGCCACTCTCCCTACAGGTGTCCAGGCATCTGACATGGCTTAGCCTGACTCTTGACACAGGTCACACCTCTCTCTGCTGCTCCTCATGGGCCTGGATGGTGTTGGACACAAAGTCTGAATGGGAGGAGGCCCCTCTCCCAACTCTCCAGCTCCCGTGTTCAGTCTCCATCCTAGTGCAGAGGACATGGCGTGTAAAAACACTGGCCCACAGCCTGGCTCCACAAAGTTTCCTATCTGTGCAAGCTTGAACTCCTCAGAGTCTCAGCCTCCTCACTTGCAAGACAG